CACACCTGGGCTTATAATAGGAAGAAAAAAATTGGGATTCGACAAAGGGGCGTGGCACCTCCCATAGGCGTGAAATTTTTTATCAGCTATAACTTCGGAACCATTGGTCACATGAACTTCAAATTTGGTATGCATACATATATATGGTAGACGCTTACAGTAGGCTATATACACATGTGTTTGTAAAAAGGGGCGTGGCACAACCCATTGGCGTGAAAATTTGCCTTAATTTAAACAGAAAGAAAATAATTTGTCTCCTTTAATTTATGCTGAACTGAATATTGTACTACTGTTTTATATTTTGATTTATTTACCCCAAACGACTTCGGGTGCTCTGCTGGTATATAAATAAATATTAACTTTACTTTTATCATTGTTGTACTATAACAGATTGAATCTTATTGTACTAATGCCTGAACCGAAATAAATGAAATGAAATTAAATGAAATCATAACATTTTTATATTTAAAAAAATGCGCAGCGGATGCCACTATCCAATTCCTATGCAGAATCGCTTGCTGATTCCGTAATTTAGTATATTTTCCGTATATAAGTTTTCGAGATATTTGCAATTTGCCGTTATTCAGCTTAAAGAAAGTGGTTCCACTTATTCACGTATATCTTATGCGAAATGTAGCAAATGAAACGTAGAAAAACTCCCATAAACAGTATATATGTATGCACATCAGTTTTCTATAAACTTAGTATTTTTTGAGAAATTTATTAATCATTCCAGATTAAAAAAAAATTTTAATTTAACAGAGAAATAATTTAGGAAATAATAGACTTTTTTTAATTCTTTCATTTGTATTAAGCCTGTTTTTTTACAAAAAAAAAAAACAAGTAGTTATTTGAAAAGAAGAAATTTCAGGCTGAAATTCCTGCTCGAAAACGTTGCTAGCTCTTAGACTATCTGCTAATATTACGGTTTGGTGGTTGTTGGAATGCATATTTCCATTGCATTGCATTAAAATTAGTTTTGAAACGGTTGAAGTCTGCAGGGCATTCGTTTGGAAGGCCCCCACACAAACGTATTGCAAAAGAAAAAAATCTACAAAAAGAGTTGCTAGAGGTGCAATGTCATTGTTAAATTGGTTATGATCAGAGTTAACTTTTCATTTTTTTTTTTATATTTCATTTCATTTTTATATGTTTTATGAAGATATTCCACCAAATGCCAATGGGGATAGCTCAGGTACAACGAAAATTGTGGTAGAGAAAGTGAAGATCATGGATTCTGCAGTAAAAAACTGTGGCATAGGCGGTGAATAACTCAGTGAGAGGGAAGACCAATATGTTTGCATGTATTCATAAAAAAATATTTATTGGAGCAAAAAGTAGTGGGTAGGCTGTTGCCAGCCATGCAGATTCCGCAAAAGGCGCCGGAAGCATTGTTCAGAGGATGCGTCAGACTAGGTCGGCCATACTTTAAAATGCCATCAAATTATAATTTAAGAAAGTTTTATTATATGGAAAGTGAGAAGTGCATGTGCAAAAATATCATAAATATATATATATATATCGTCGTTTAAAGTACAAAACCGCGTATCAAGATAATGCAAAACCGCGTCTGTGAATTATGTAAATTATCCTCGAGAGTGTAAACATACTCATATTTCAAAAAGGGTCTCTATTTTATAAAGAAATCGCATACCTGACCAGTATGTTTCAGGACGAATGGATAAGGGTTGGGCCAAGAGCGTTTTGGCAGCTAATGCCAGTTACGCGGTTTTTGCAGAATGACGATAAGCGGTTTTGTACTTTAAACGACGATATGTAAATATAAATATAACGCGCCTAAACAGGCAACATTGCCACATGGCTCGTTGGTTTTGCACTGATTTGGAGC